ATGATTTATAATCCTTTGGGTATATACCCAGTAATGGGATAGCTGGGTCAAATGATATTTCTAGTTCTAGATCCTTGAGGAATCGCCACACTGTCTTTCACAATGGTTGAACTAATTTACACTCCCACTAATAGTGTAAAAGCGTCCCTATTTGTCCACATCCTCTCCAGAATCTGTTGTTTCCTGACGGGTTAATGAGAGAACATTTGATTCTTAAGAAACCTAGGCAAATCAAAAATCTATATAATACAGTAAAGAAAAATTCAATTTAGAAGGGGCATAAGCAGATTTAACTAAGATTTCAAATGTACTTATTTCCTCATTTAAAATTTCTTCTCCTTCAATATTATAATTTCAGGTCTCTTAAAATAAGGACTGAATTAAAATACAGAAATAGTGTTTTCTTTCAGAAATCAAGTGTCCCTGCATCTTAAATTTTCTGTACAGTTCCATTTATCAGTCCTTTGTGCAAGAGTTAGCAATTCATGACACAAGGGTCACTTTCTGCCTTTCTTTGCAGAGTTGATGACACTTACCAAACATCATCCGAATTCCTCAAGTATCATCCATTCAGCTGCTGCCTTTGAGTTTCCCTTCTTGTCTGCCTGCTCTGCCTGGGCTCTAAAGGAATTTTTTAAAGAAAGCAACATATTTTTAGACTAACCAGTTGGTTAAGAAAATATAAGATAAAAAGCAATTATTGAAAGCATTGTTCAGTGTTCTATTTAATCACAGAAACATCTGCATATATTTGAAAAATAGTGACACACATGTGAGACATTTAGTCTGCAGATAGTATATCACATGATGGTTAAGAGCTCAGGCTGTAGAGTCAGAACCCAGTTTGAATCCATAGCTTACTATTTTTAACTTTGGACAAGTTACTTACATATCAGTGCTTCAGTTTTCTCATCTGTAAAATATGAATGATATTAGTACCTAATTGATAGATCTGTCATATAGACTATAAATAAGTTAGTATATTTGAAGAGCCTAGAACAGAACCTAGCACATTGTAAGTAACATTTAAAGTGTTGGCTATTATCATGATGGTGCTATCTTGTGTAACCTATGCAGTAAATCAGAGACCTTTTACTTTTAAGTTTCTCTTCTGTTCTTAGTTTCTTATTCTGGTGAATGACTGTTGGGACTTTTGAATAGATACTACTTTTAGAAATTTGTGTTCAGTTTTACCTCACCCTCCTTGAGATTTTTGCCCACCTCCTGCTGACACATACTTTGGAGATACTAATCCCTGAGCCACCGCGCCTGGCTTTTTAAAAATTTCTGTAGTTCTTGTTATTAAACATGAGGTCTGGTATGTACATGGATGAATAAATAATATAACATTTTCAAAATGGTTCATCCTTTTTTGTTTTGTTTTAAGAAATCTTTTCCTACACTGAGATCTGCATTTCTTCTACACATTTTAAAGTTAGCCTTTTATATTCAGGTCCATAATTTACCTGGAATTAATTTTTCCTTTTTTTTTTTTTTTTTTTTTGAGACAGTGTCTCACTCTGTTGCCCAGTCTGGGCATGCTATGGCATGATCACAGCTTACTGCAACCTTGACCTCCTGGGCTCAAGAGATCCTCCCACCTCAGCCTCCCGAGTAGCTGGGACCACCGGCACGTGCTACCACATCCAGCTAATTTTTTTTTTTTTTTTTGAGATGGAGTTTTGCTCTTGTTGCCCAGCCTGGAGTGCAATGCATGATCTCGGCTCACTGCAACGTCTGCCTCCTGGGTTCAAGCGATTCTCCTGCCTCAAGCCTCCCAAGTAGCTGGGATTACAGGCATGTGCCACCACGCCTGGACGCCAGGCTAATTTTTTTTTTTTTTTTTTTTTTTTGCATTTTTAGTAGATACGAGGTTTCTCCATGTTGGTCAGGCTGGTCTTGAACTCCTGACCTCACGTGATCCGCCTGCCTCGGCCTCCCAAAGTGCTGGGATTACAGATGTGAGCCACTGCATCCAGCCCATGTCTGGCTAATTTTTAAATATTTGTAGAGACAGATCTCATTATGTTGCCCAGGCTGATCTCAAACTCCTGGGCTCAAGCAATCCTCCTGCCTCAGCCTCCTGAAGTGCTGAGATTACAAGCGTGAATCATCCCACTTGACCTATAATTAATTTTTCTGTTTGCTGTCATTTAGAGATTCACTTGAAATTTTTTTTGCCATATGGGTATGCCTGGCATCATTTGCTGAATATTATTTTTTTTAGAGATGGGATCTTGCTCTGTTGCCTAAGCTAGAGTGCAGTGGCGTGATCAGAATTCACTGCAGCCTCGAACTCCTGAACTCAGGCAATCCTCACACCTCTGCCTTCCAAGTAGCTGGGACTACAGGCATATGCCACTGCACCCAGCTACAATTCAGGGTTTTGAGTAGAGGAGTGACATGATCTGATACAGGTTTTTAACAGTAGCTGATGTGCTGAAATTCACTGAAAGGTAGCATGAGTGAAAGTAGGAATACCAATTAGAAGGCAAGAGAGAGATAAGAATGACTTAGACCAAGTTTGGAAAAGGTGGTCAGTTTCTGGATATATTTTAAAGAAGGTTGCAACAGGATTTGCTGACAGATTAGAGATGAGAGGTGAAAGAAAGAGTCCAAGAAGATGCCTTGTGGGGTTTTTTTGACCAGAGAATCTGAGAGGGGAAAGATTGAGCTTAAAACAGATTTGTGGGGAAATTCCGGGAGTTCTATTTTCAACATGTTAGCAAAGCCCATCACACGTCCAAGGACAGATTTGAGTTAGCAAATTGAATATCTAAATTTGGATTCTAAGAAAGATGTCCTCAAGTAAAGATTGTATTTAAAGCTGTTAAGTACCCTAGTCTCATCAACACAATATACTCAATAAGACTTTATTCTTTCTTAAGGCAGATTTAAAATTACTAACTTAACCCTCCCCTACCCACAAAGAAAATAAATATATTAATTTTCTTGGATTTTAGGATCTTCAAGATGAAGTTCAAAGGGAGAATACTAATCTGCAAAAACTACAGGCCCAGAAACAGCAGGTACAGGAACTCCTTGATGAACTGGATGAGCAGAAAGCCCAGCTGGAGGAGCAACTCAAGGAAGTCAGAAAGAAATGTGCTGAGGAGGCCCAACTGGTAATGTCTGGCTATTTCCTGCTGCCTGCATCTATACGTTACTTGCTTTTCCTGGCTTAAGATGAAAACATTCTCTACTTTTTGTTATTGGTGGTGGTAGTTGGCAATCTAGTCAGCATTTGGGTTCATGGGGGCGATGGAGCAAGGTTCATACAAAAATTACAGGCCTTCTTTAGAGGAAGTAGGGCAGTTAATGAACTGGTTTTCCAAATTTTTGTTAGAAAATATGTACCTATACCTTCAACTCTCCTCTATCCCTCCACCAGTTAGCCTTCTCTATGAAAACCATACATCAAAAAACATCATAATTGGCTGGGCACAGTGGCTCACACCTGTAATCCCAGCAGTTTGGGAGTCTGGGGCGGGGGAAATTGCTGAAGCCCAGGAGTTGGAAACCGGCCTGGGAAACATGGAGAAATCCTACCTCTACAAAAAATATGAAAGGTGGCTGGGCGCAGTGGCTCATGCCTGTAATCCCAGCACCTTGGGAGGCCGAGACGGGCAGATCATGAGGTTAGGAGATCGAGACCATGGTGAAACCCGTCTCTACTAAAATTACAAAAAATTAGCCGGGCACGGTGGCGGGCGCCTGTAGTCCCAGCTACTCAGGAGGCTGAGCCAGGAGAATGGCTTGAACCCGGGAGGTGGAGCTTGCAGTGAGCCAAGATCACACCACTGCACTCCAGCCTGGGCAACAGAGCAAGACTCCGTCTCAAAAAAAAAAAAAAAAATTTTTTTTTGAAAGCCAGGTGTGGTGGCCCACATCTGTAATCCCACTTACTTGAGAGGCTAAGGTGAGAGGATCACCTGAGCCTGGGAAAGGTGAGCCTGAAGTGAGCTGTGATCGTGCCACTGCACTCCAGCCTGGGTGACAGAGTGAGACTGTCTCAAAGAAATAAAACAACAACAACAAGGCCTACGTATGGCTGGGCATACTCCTATAGTCCCACCTACTCAGGAGGATCACTTGAGCCCAGGAGTTTGAATCCAGCCTGGGCAACATAGCAAGACTCACTCTCTCTCTCAAAAATTAAATAAATTATTTGCTATTGCTGTCAAAAACAAACAAACAAACAAAAACCTCACCAAAATAGTAAAGTAAACTAAACAAATAAATGTATTGCATTTTGGAACATTTCAGTGACATCTCTTCTTTTAATCCCCATTTCTTCTCATTCACTTTCACATTATAGATCTCTTCTCTGAAAGCTGAATTAACTAGTCAGGAATCACAGATCTCCACTTATGAAGAAGAATTGGCAAAAGCTAGAGAAGAGCTGAGCCGTCTACAGCAGGAAACAGCAGAATTGGAGGAGAGTGTAGAGTCAGGGAAGGCTCAACTGGAACCTCTTCAGCAGCACCTACAAGATTCACAACAGGAAATTAGTTCAGTAAGTCTTTGTAAAGCAAGAAATATACTCAAATGGATCCTCTGTATCCTTTAGTCAGTTATACTTTCCAACTTCTGCTCCTTCAACCTCTTGCCTAGTTTACTGTTCATTTTTCAGTCATTTTATACAATAGGTTTTTTTTGTTGTTGTTACCTGTTGTATATTGAAACTATCATACATCTTGTATGTCTATCTGATGATTATCATTGGAGTAGTGATTAAGAGTGTGGACTTTGTGGCTGGATGGTCTAGGTTTAAGTACTGGTCTGCCACTTACTAGCTAAATCACCTTAGTATCAGATTCTTCATCTTCAAAATTGGAGGATTAATAAATACCCTACCCCTTAAGGCCACTATGAGGATTAATGAGGCAAAGCCTGTAAGACATTTTAGCATGGTGCTTGGTATATAAATGCTCAATAAGTGTTGCTTATTTTATAAACAATAACCTAGTTTCTTCTGTTTTGTGATTCTAATTTTGAATTCACATTTACTAATTTGGAAACTTGTTTCTTAAGGAAATTGTTCCTTCTGTAGATAAATGTGCAGTGTTATAGTTGGTCTTATGTATAGATCCTTTGCTTTTTTATTTCCAGGTTTCCCTACATGAAGACTAATGTTTTAATGAATGATGAGATAGTTAGGGCTGGGCATTGTGGCCCATGCCTGTAATCCCAGCACTTTGGGAGGGTGAGGCAGCGGATCACTTGAGGCCGGGATTTTGAGACCATCCCTGCCAACATGACCAAACTCTGTTTCTACTAAAAGATACAAAAATTAGCTGGACATGGTGGTACCTGCCTGTAATCCCAGCTGCTTGGGAGGCTGAGGCACGAGAATCGCTTGAGCCTGGGAGGC